TAGTTCTGTCATTTTTTGTTTCATGAATTTTAAAGCCCATTTATTAGATGCATACATATTTAGAACTTTTATGCCTTACTGGTGAATTTTACTCCTTTTATCTGCATTTACCCCCCTTTTTTCTTTGCTTTGAAGTCTACTTTATTTGTTACTAATATTGCTCTGTCAGTTTTCTTATCTTTGCTGTTTGTGTGGTACATCTTTTTCTAAAAGTTCTTTTATTTTCAATCTATTTGGTCTTAATATTTAAAATATATGAGATTAGGTTTTGCCTTTTTAATCAATTTTGATAATTTCTGTTTATGAATTGGAGTGTTTAGTCTATTTATATTTACCCATATTTTATACTGTTTAATTGCTTTTCAGGCCCTGGAGTCATTGTTGCATTTTCATTTATTTGTTTTTCTCCTTATTCTCCAGGTTGATTTGTCTTCAGGTTCACAGACTTCTCTTCTGTCTCCATTCTTTATTAAGCCCTTCTAATGAATTTTTCATTTTTGTTATTTTTCAGTTAAAGAAATTCTAGTTTCTTTTTTACAGTTTGTATTTCTCTGTTGATATTTTCCTCTATTCACTCATTGTGACTACTTTTTCCTTTTTTTCTTTAACATATTTTCCTTTAGTTATTCCAACATATTTGTAAGAGATATTTAAAGTGTTTGTTAGCTAAGGTCAGTGTTTTGGGGGTTGTTTTCTATTGACTGCTTTTTTTCTTGATGATGAGTCACACTTTTGTGCCTAATAAGTACTTTTTATTTACTTATTTATTTTTTAAATGCCTAGATTATTTTTTTAAGCATTTATTTATTTATTTGACACAGAGAGAGAGCACGAACAGGGGCAGTGGCAGGGGGAGAGGGAGAAGCAGGCTCCTCGCTGAGCAGGGAGCCCAATGCGGGACTCCATCCCAGGACCCTGGGATCATGACCCGAGCCGAAGGCAGACACTTAACCGACTGAGCCACCCAAGTGCCCCAATAAGTAATTTTTAAAATATATACTGATCCTTACAGATATATGATAGAGATTTTTTGTTAGTTACTTTTCCTTGATGTGTTGATTTTCATTCTAATAATCTGTCCAATTGCCTGATGATCACCCTTAACTTGTGCACACTGAATTTTATACTTTGTGCAAAAAGACCAAGTTGTTTCCCAGTCCTTTTAACTGGTAGGACTGAACCTCAAACTCTGCTCCCCTTTTGATCTTTTAGGGATTGGCATTACTAGGCTTTGTTAGATAGTACTAGAACCTCTTGCTTTAGTGCATGGTTCTTTCTCCTAAGCTGTCTTACCTGAATGCTCAGGAAATAGCAAGGTTTCTCCATTCTTGTTTGGCTGGAAGTTGATTGTTGTTCTAATGTTATTTAACCTCCAGTGTCTCTGTTTTGTTATCAAGCCCAGAGCAGTTGATCCCTGGTAAACTGGGTACTTTCTCTTTGGATACTCCAGCCCTTGGCAAAGGACTCATATGGTACTTCTAGAGACCTTTTGCATAGCTCTTTAAGGTCCTGTTTCTTGCCCAGCATAATCCAGCTACCTCATTTTTCTTGAACTCTGATCTCTGCCTTCTCAATTCAGCAGGACCACTGTACTTAGCTTAGATGATCACTTGTATGCTTGTTGGGATATTGCCTTCAAGCAGAGTGTCTGGGCAGTTATTGGGGTTGACTTGGTGAGTTTTTCTCCTCTCAGGGATTATAGTCTTGTGCTGCCTAATTTACCGGGCCTGAAAACTGTTGCTTCATATATTTTGCCATTTTGATTGTTGTTTACAGTGTGAGGGCTAGTTCGTATCAGTTTCTGTATCATAGCCAAAGATGCATGATTTGGAGTATATATCTTTATTGTTTAAAGCTAAGACCTTTTTCTGTCTTTTCTGTGAGTGATTTGCTCAAGTCCATACAACAAATAATATTCTTACTGGGGTTTGTTAGGAGGAAAAATCTCTCTATTAAAAAGGTACAGCATTGTATGATTTTTCTAAAATTTTGTTTCATTTTATACAGTATCTGATCTGTAAAGTATGATGGTTCTTACATATCTTCTCTGGGGAGGACATGAGCATTCCTTTGGTTTACCTTATTTTCATCAATATAAGTACTGATTCTAAACGTGCACAGTACTTGATGAGAGATAACTAGAAATATTACCTGTTGGGTTTTTCATAAAACTGCAAATTAATAGCAAATTAATAGAAAAAAATTTTTTTTCACAGACATTAATTCATTCATCAAATATTTAGTATCTGTTTTAATTGCCAGTGCTGGCATTGTATTTGACACTGAGGATATAATAGAGAATAAAATGGGCATGGGTAACCCCTAACTTTGTTGAACTTATATTCTAATGTGGGAGATAGACAAATACAAGGAAACAACATAAAAAAAATCACAAGTTATGGTATCTGCTAGGAAAACAAATGGAGTTCTGAGGTAGAGAACAATGAGTTCCTACTTTGGATAGAGTGATCACTCCTTTGAGAAGTTTATATTTCAGCTGAATGAAGGAGCTAGTCTCTGGGGAAGAGGTGAAGTCAGGGACTGTGATGGATTTTCTGTTACCTTCCCAGTACCTGTAACGATCTTGAGGAAAGGTATATTAGAGGAACTGAAAGAAGGTGGTAAATATGATTGAAATATGAACAAGGGAAAGAAAATGACGAGATTTAAATTGGGAAGGTGGTTATAGGCTAGATCATTTAGATCTCTGTAGATTTTTGTCAGGAACTCAGTTGCTTCTTCTTTCATCCAACCCTCAGTAGGATGACCATATAATTTGTTGTACAAATAATGGCATACTTCTGAGTGAAAAAGAGCAGTAACTGAATGGAAGACTGTGCTGACCAATGTAATCTGGCCCTGTTCTGGGGAAATCATCCTAATAGTGGCTGTACATATGTAGAAATGGCATAGATAAGTGGTTACTAGCATGGATTCTGGATGCAGCCTACTGTACCTTCATTTTTAATTTTTTTAAAAATGGTTTTATTTATCAGAGAGAGCGAGCAAGTGCACAGGAAGGGACGGGGTGGGGGAGGGAGAAGGAGAGAGAATCTCAAGCAGACTCTATGCTGAGCACAGAGCTTGACACAGGGCTCTATCTCACGACCCAGAAGTCATGACCTGAGCTGAAACCAAGAGTCTGACACAACCAGCTGGCCACCCAGGTGCCCCAGACTACTGTATCTTTTAATCTTGATTTCTACTCATTGTATAACCCTCAGCAAGTTAATTTCTCTGTGCCTCAAATTTCTCATTTGTAACATGGGGAAGTAATAACCTCATTAGGGTTGTTACAAAGATTAAGTAATACATTTATGAAAACACACTGTGCCTGCTTTGTAGTAAGCACCTACTCAGTAAATTCATTCTTTTAGCAAATATTTATTCAGAGGTTATTATGTGCCAGGCATTTTACTAGGCACCGTGTATTAAGCAGTGAACAAAACACAAAAATCCTTGGCTTCATTGGGCTTAATTACTAGTGCAAGACATAATAAAATAAAAGTAAAAAATAAGGTATAAGATGGTAATAAGTGCAATGGAGCAAAAGTAAGGAAGAAGGAATGGAATAGGGAATGTGTGGGTAGCTGAGGGTGGCTGTAAATTGAAAAATTGAAGTAGCTTGATCAGAGTAGGCCTCACTTAGAAGGTAACATCTGAGCAGGGATCTGAAGGAAGTGAGGGATTGGGTCCTGCTTTAAGGGCTGATTCCAGGCAGAGAGAATAACACATGCGGAGATGAAATGAGAAACTATTGGGGTTTTAAAACAGGAGTGACAGGAGATGGTTTATGTTTTTGAAGGATCACCAGACTGTGGGTGGGTGGGAGTGACAGCAGGGAAACCAGTTTAGGTTATTGTAGGTAATGGACATAAAAGATTTAGATCAGAGTGTTGTTATCAGTGGAGGTAGTTAGAGATGACTGGATTCTGAAACTATTTGAAGGTAGGAATGACATGATTTGCTGGTGAGTTTGATGAGCTGTGTGAGAGAAGAAGAGAAGCCAAAGATTTTTAGCCAGAGCAACTAACTGGAAGGATGAAGATGCCATTTACTAAAATGGGGAAGACTGTAGGAGGAATAAATTCAGGGGTGATGATTTGGAGTTCAGTTTTGGACATCCTGTTAGATACCCAAGTATAAATGCTAGCAGTCAGTATTTATTATTAATTATTCAGTAAATGTTAACACTTATAATCGTTAGGTATTTATTGGCTCTGTGGTAGAGTTTGCTGTGGTATATTTAGGATTAAAATGATGGTCAAAAAAAGATACTGTTTTTGCCCTTGTGGAAGTTAAAATCTAATAAGGAAGATAAGAATTGATCAAGTAGGGATGCTTGGGTGGCTCAGTTGGTTAAGCATCTGCCTTTGGCTGAGGTCATGATCCTAGGGTCCTGGGATTGAGTCCTGCGTTGGGCTCCTTGCTCAGCGGGGAGCCTGCTTCTCCCTCAGCCTGCCACTCCTACTGCATGTACGGGCGCTCTGTCTCTCTCTGACAAATAAATAAAATCTTTAAAAAAAAAAAAAAAAAGGAATTGCTCAAATAATCATGTTGGTGGTAGTTTTTTTTCTTAACATAAAAAAACCTTTTAAGTAGGATGCTTTGAAAGAAAGATGACTTAAAATCACAAATATCCCTTGATATCTAAATTTATTAGGTTCTGTTCAGATAGCGATACATGTACATACCTTGAAAATTTCTCATTTAACAATACCTTGTTCTTAAAATTGGTTAGCTTAATTAACATGGAGGAATGAAGCTTTATGAATTTATGGAACCTAGCATTTAAAGGTATTGTGTATTTCATGAAATATTTAGGCTGTTGGGAATTTTCTCTTCTTTTTTTCCATTAAAGATGTTATGCTTTTACTTTTTATTAGTTAGCTAAAGGTCATTTTGTTTTATAACTGAAGTCTTTAATAATAGAATTATAGTATGATATGTTGTTCACCTTTCTCTCACAAAATTATTTTTGTGTTTTAATAAATCTACAGGTTCGTCATAAGGCATCACAGAAGGTTTATGCTATGAAGCTTCTTAGTAAGTTTGAAATGATAAAAAGATCTGATTCTGCTTTTTTCTGGGAAGAGAGAGATATTATGGCCTTTGCCAACAGTCCCTGGGTGGTTCAGGTAAGCATACAGACTTTTATAAGTTTATTTCCCTTTTTTGTAAGTGCTTATTATTCATAAGATATGATTTTATATGCTAAAAATCCTATATCTCACTCACATAGTAACAGTGCAGTCATTTTTAATAAGGTTGGATTCAATATGCTTGTTTAATGTTCCTAAATAGTATGTCATATAGACATGACATGTAATACTTGAATTGGTGTATGAAAGCAAGTATTATTTGCAACTTTTAAAAAATTCCTTTATGAACAATTAGATTGGTTACCAGAATGCCATTATTCCCTGCCTACACTCTCGTGATTTACATAGGAGGAACAATAATCAGCCTGTCTCAAAAAAACCCAAAACTTCCTACAATAAAAATTTTGAAAATTCTCCTGTAGTCCTTTATATATTACCTATAATATAAGACAGTATTGTGCCTCCTAATTGAGCCTCTTACTTGAGTGTAAAGTAAGGAATTTATGGTTGTATTTTGCCTCCTTTTCAATTATATCCCTCATTAACTTTGTTTCTCTAAAGATGTTTTTATGCTAATATCTAATTCTGCAAACATTTTTGAACAAGTATCATGAGTAAGATTAGGTATGTACCAATGCATGTTCAGAATGCTTACTTAAATTATTTGGGTGTTTGATACCTTGCTTGTGGAAGGCAATTTGCAGGTAAAAAATTGCCACATGGATGACTATGTAATTTAAAAGCTCATTATTATTGCTTTGTTAATGATGTTGAGCCCCAATGCTCTTTCTCTCTACTTAATTTTTTATTGTAGCTACTGAATAGAAATTCTGATATGTGTAGCTAAAACTAAAATTTTTGTAGCAAATTATATATTATGATAATTAAGGAATGATGGTAATAAATTATTCCACTTCTGGCTTTAAATTGCTTTCATAGCAACAGAATCATTGCCATTTCTAGTTTATCAGTTCATACACTGGTGTCTTTGATCTTTAATTCTGCTTAATGGACCTTTTTAAAGTGTTCATTGAGATAAAGAGTTAATGGATCTGTGGAAACCAGTCAACAGTGAAACATTGTAAACTGAAAAAGTAACATTATAATTCTGGCTTTCGTTTGTTTATCTTATGCAAGGACATTCCATGTACCATTATATTTATATGTTTGAAATGTATAACTTTGTGGGGAAACCTGTCAAAATACCTGACTTAATTCTATTTATTGATTTAATTCATTGATTTTCAATATATTTATAGAGTTTCACTACATATTAGTATATTTATAGAGTTTCAGTATATTTATAGAACATTTTTGTGCCTCAAAAAAGAAACCCTGAACCAATTGGCAGTTATTCTCCAATCCTCCCTGACTCCAACTCCTGGCAACCACTGGTCTGCTTTCTTTGTCTGTGGATTTGCCTATTCTGGATATTTCATGTAAATGGGATTGTAAAATATATGGTCTTTTGTGATATCTTCTTTCATTTAGCATAATGTTTTCACTGTTCATTCGTGGTATAGCATGTATCAGCCCTTCATTTCTTTTTATGGCTGAATAATCGTCTGTTGTATGGATATCCCACATTTTCTTTGTTCATTAATTAATGGACACATAGGTTGTTTCTGTCTTTTGGCTAATGTGAATGATGCTGCTGTGACTTCTTTCATATGGATTTTGGTACATACATTTACACGTTTCTGTTAGGGATCTACCTCTACCTTGGAGTGAAATTAATGGGTCATAAGGTAATGCCTGTAATCAATTTCAATAGATTATTTCTAACAGTTTGCCAAATCTCAGTGCTTATTTTTTTCACGATTGTTGAATATTTAATTGTATGAAGGCCCCCATACTTTGTTACTGTACTCTTGCTGGAGATGGCTCTTTTTATTTTTCTTATATAAATTCTGATACAACATAAATCTGTGACCTCTCCGTATTTCATAGAGATAATATCCTTAGTGTGATTTGAATTCGATAGATGAATATTGGCACATTTAAGAACTTATTCCTTTGCTGATAGAGGAGACTTTTTTTTAAAAAGCCATCTATTATAAGCCACATCTATTGCTGTGTTCTTTGCCTGTTTTTCTAATGTCCATACTTTTATGGTGAACACTTCCTTACTTTTCTGTATAGTTTCATACACCCAAGTACGTGTACACCCTTTAATACTTCAGTTTACTTTTGGCTTTTTTTAAAATTTAAGTTTAGGTATCCCTTTTAAGTCTCTCAATCTATTTTCATTCCTCTTTTTCTTTTGTCTCATCAGTTTATTTGTTGAAGAAATGGGGCTTTTGTTGATTTCATCCTTGTGTAGTTTAACATGTTCCTCTCTCGTTTGTATTTTTTGAGTTGCTAATTGGATATAGTAGATCAGAGTCAGGTGTGTTTTTTGGGAGAGTGGCAGAACAACTTCAAGGGTAGTGTTTTGTTCTGTTAGGAGGCTAATGTCTGGTTATTTCTCTGTTGTTTTACCAGCTATTTGTGCTTAATGCCTAGGTCTATTAATTTATTAAGGATTTCAAAATGGTGATATTCCAATTCAGTAATTCCTCCCCCCACCCACTCCCCATTCATTCCTTTTTTTATTATAGTGACTGGAATAGTTCTATAAAGAAAATATTCCCCCATTTACTATTTGGTTACCCAGTAGTATAATTCACAGAGGAAGGCCAGGATAAATACTTTATTCTTTCCTTATATTTACCAGTTTTCAAAGTAAGGGATTAGTTTCCTTTTATCTCTAAAGGTGAACAATTTTGGGGGAGTTACCAGTTTGAACTCATGGACTTAAAACCTATTTGATGTGTTTTAGTCCTTTGAGTATTTTATTGATGCTCAAATTGTGACACCTTTGGCAAGTGACATCCTGTTCAGGTTGATTCCTGAGTCTTTTGGACATAGCTGTAGCAGTCTTTGATAGCTTGCTATCTGATATAATGGGATGTTCCAGACCAATCTTGTACATTTTCTGTCCTTGACATAGAATTAACTGTGCTTATAGGTCCATCTTTTGTACACATGTGAATATTTCCTTAGAATAGATTCCTAGCATTGGGTTTGCTAGGTCGTATGGTGTGCACATTTGACATTTTGATAGATAGTGCCAAATTGCTTTGTAAAAAAAGGTTTTTACAAGTTTATATTACTCTATTTAATATTTTTATTTTACTACATTTTTAGCCAATACTGGATATTGTAGTTATTTAAATTTTTATTAGTTGCATCCTCAATTAAAAAAGATGTTATTGTGCTAAGGTGCATTTCCTTGGTTAATTATGAGGTTCAGGATATTTCATATGTTTATTAGTAATTTGTATTCCTTTATTGCTTATCCCATTTTTCTGTATGTCATTTTACTTTTTTAAAATTGATTTATTAGCATGCTGATAGACCCTGTATATTAATATATATATGTTGGAAATATATTCTGTGTTACGTATGTTGGAAATATATTCTCTTGGACTGTTACTTGTCTGTTGCTTATTGAATTTTTAAAAGTAGATGTAGGGCACCTGGGTGGCTCAGATGGTTAAGCGTCTGCCTTCGGCTCAGGTCATGATCCCAGGGTCCTGGGATCGAGTCCCGCATCGGGCTCCCTG